CGAATTTCGCCGAAATTTTAATGTTTGACCGAAATTTAACTAGTTTTTATCATAACTTCGCTGAACGGTTCTGTTTTTTTAAGATACGCGCCTGGGGCGGCCCTGGGGGCCGACGGCTGGGGACCGACTCGCCCCCAGTGCAATTTTTTTCGCCGGCTCACCCCCAGGCGGCGCTTTTAGATGCCCCCTGGGGGGCCAATGGCTGGAGATGCCCTAACCAGGGGTGATAGGAGGGTCCAGGTGAAGGCTATTAAATGTGAGAGGAATCAGGTTAGTCATGAGCTTGCTCGTATAGCTCGTACAGACATAAAAACTGCAGTTTGGCTGGATTCTGGCCTTGAAGGGATTGTAAATCTTTGTGTACTGGATCAACTTGATTCAGGTTGATTAATACAAATCCTTTTTTCCCCGCAAAAAAAAGAAGCTTCCCAAAACCTCTTTCAGGAACCATATTTGGCCAGCCGAACTAGCAATCACCAGAGGTGAGACTGATCGTTCTGTCAGTACGGGCGAGGCATAGCCCCGGCGACCCAACAAAGGGTTACCGTAAGCAGCACATGCTGGAAAGTAAAAAAGGGACAGCCCATAAAGAAAACAATTTCCGTCGGTTTATTCCAGCCAGTTCTCCCCTGTTTTTCTTTCATTTTTTAATTCGTTTACTCATTTTTTTCTGTTTGTTTTTGTTTTTCTTTCATCTTTGTGTTTTTTTAAGTTTTTACTCTTTCTCTTTTTCGGTTTCATTTTCAAAAACATGTTTTTTCAATAAAAATCATGAATAAGTTTATAAAAATTTGGCGAAATGTTTTGAGCTTTAAAAAAATCAAATATTGAACATTTTTAAATTCATTGATTGTTTTTCAAATTAGTGTTTTTTCCAAACACTACCAGAAAGCGGACTTTTCCCCACGGCTAAGAACCGACAAGAAAATAGCAAATCCCGTCAGGAAAATATTTCCTGACGGTTGCCCGACAGGAAAATTCCGCCAGGAATAAAGCGACAGGGAAATCCTTAATTGCCTGACGGTCGACCGACAGGGAATATTTCCCTGACGGTTATTCCTGTCAGCCACCGTAAGGAAAATCTCGATGCCATCAGATTTAGAGGTCAGAGTTGTTGTGACGGCCAACCTACAGGAAAAATGGCTAGCAAAGCACGTAATTTTCGTTTTCTGGAATCAATGTTGAGCACGCAACAGACAAATCAATATCCTTTTATTAGCACATACCAGTGGTCCACGTATGATCCATTTAAAACCCAAATCCACATCACATCTTTGTACGTGCATCCAAAATCAGTACACATAGCATATTTCCATCCATAAATCCATGCATGATTTAACATCTGCTAGTTGACATATGAAACGTTTACTTGCTTAACAGCATTAACATGACAGTTGTACGTGTACATGGCACCACCAGTCAACATAATCATCCACCACACTGCACAATGCAATGCAATGATAACAAAATACTCAGTTTCTAAGTCACCTTGGTTCATGATCTAGAGCATCAACTACATCTTCATAAGTTTCTAAGTCACCTAGGCTACCACCATGTTGTCACCATAAGTGTTGCCTCCAAACTAACAGGGGATGAATCGGTGTTCCCCTGCAAAGTTATGTACACCATTAATGAGAATAATACTGAATTGAGCAGGAGATGATGAGCAACATCCTTCACCATGAGAGTTGTTATCCTCTTAACTCTTTCAAGGTTTATCTTTTTGGCATATCTATAAAATAGATCCTAAAGTACTGTGAAATATACATTATTTATGTTTCAAAGTGGCTCCAGAACATAATCTGGCCCACTTGATGATAACTTAAATAGCATGAAACTATTGAGCAAAAACACTTAGCTAATCAAGGACGAAAAAAAGGATGTTCATCTACTATTTTCTTTGCAAATCTTAGATATGGCATATGGCAGCAATGCAATTATTAGATGTCATACTACATTTTAGTGCTTTATAAAATAATGGACAGGAGTAAATGATACTCACCTGTAACTTCAAGTTCGACCTTGTGCCCATTAAGAGGCATTCTTAATGAGGTCATGGCCCTCTTTGCTTTGATGAAACGTGTACAATCTCAAGATTCCAATCATGGAGAGATGATTTTTCAGAACAAGAACTAAGGATTTCTGAAAAAGTAAAGTTTACTTGTAGCCAGTGGAACAACAATTTATCTAAACAGATGACCAATTCAGCTTCATCTACCAACATGATAGGGTGAATATTGTAATTCAAGGAAGTAAAATAAAGTAATGGGACTATGTAGATATTGGGGCAAATAATGGCTGCAGATTTGATGCTAGGTGCCAAAGACTGGCTAAGGGGACCTGAACTAAATCATGCCCTCAAAGAAGATCCAGCATGCCATATACCCTTCCGGGTAACTGAGGAATATAACAGCTGGACTAGATACATAATGGAAGAGACACAAAAATTAGATAGACAAGCATGTACATTAGTCACCTCACACTGCTGACCTGCAAGAACTTGATAAAGAAGATGTATGTACTCCTCATAGTCTTCGGCATCCAGGGGTTTGCACCTGAAGCTAAAAACACACACGGAAAAGAGAGCGCGGACACGCACTGCCTCACTCTTCCAGCAGGCCGTATGTGAACAGGGAGATAATTACCAAATCAAGAGAAGGGTATGTTGTCAAAGCGTGAGAGGTACCTGAGACAGGTTTTTCTTTGCTCTTCACTGCATCTGTCATATATGGCTTCCTTCCTTCCGCCACAAAGATTTGTAAAGATGAGAAGCAGTACCTACAAGAGACTAGCACAATTATGCAAATAATTACTTACATTTCCAAGTAAAGATATGAGTAACTTGCTTCTAAAACTAAACGCTTACTGCCAAAATGATTTGTCAAAGGAGGCGATATCTAGAAATTCTAACAGTGGGCTGCAACTTCATTAATGGCTAGATGATATGGCAGATTCAAGCTACAAGAAATCAGCATGGAAAAATAATGAATATTTGGCATATATAATTTCAAGAGATTAAGAAAAGATCTCCGCCTCATCTTCACTTGCAGTGCATATTATTAGAAGCAAACATCTAGCAATGATAGAAGAACCTTTTCAGAATTTCGGTGACATCAACGAACGTGAGTGCTAACAACACAACCCAACAGTAGCTCCCAATTTATTTATTTTCTGAAAATTGAATAAATTAAAACACTGAAAACAGATGCAAAGGGCCCCTTATTTTTCCATTCATAAGGCTCCAATGAGCCAGCAAAAGAAAGAAAATCAATATCCTGAGGTCCCAAGATCTAGATTCTACACAGCTTCTTTTTCTCGGTGACCAAGGTTGAGACTTACCACAACAAAACGGATCAGCTGGCTTGGACAAAATGGAGAGAAGGAGCCAGCTGCTGTCACGTCACAGAGGAGGCGGCGACTTGCTGGATGTGTGACAGTAGACTTACCCAGATCTGGGGCAGGGAGCACGTGGTGCAGGCAACGCGTACAAGGCGGCAGGGTTGGGGTAGGGTGGGCCAAGGGAGGTGGGATGCGGCAACGGATGGAGATGCAGGCAAGCGACGGTGGAGGTCGGGGAGATGGAAGGCGGGCGGCGGTGGCCTACTCAGGTTCACCAGGGCGGCGGTGGCGAAGGTGAGAGACGACCAGCGGTGGAGGTCGGAGGAGTGGATGGCGAGCGGCGCTGGTTGGATTTACCTGTGGAGGAGGGCGGCGGCTGCAGCCAGGAAGTTTGAGGGGGGCGGCGGCCATGGAGCAGATGAGATTTTTTTTTTTTTGAGCGAATGGAGCAGATGAGATGGATGGAGAGGCGAGAGGCGAAGTGGGGAATTGTTCTAGGGGCTTCTCGCTGCTGTACTCTCTGGCCTTTTTCCCTGTAGGCCCATACCACACAGGAAAATTGAGTTGGCGAGCTGCTTTTCATCTAGCCGCGCGAGAAAGTTTCGCTCAAAGGAAAAAAAGACCCGCGAGGTAAGAGTTTTTCGCGCGAAAGCCCGGTTTATGGTGGAGCAATGGCGGGCTGGGCCTCAAACAATTTTCTTGTGGGCTGGACACTCACAGGAATATATTCTCCTGTGGGGTATTTTTGTGCCGACAGGAAAATTACGTAGTTTTCCTTGGGGTGCAGTTTTGCCCGCCAGGAAAATTGTATTCCTGTGCCTCACAGGAAAAGTGCAATTTCTGGTAGTGAAATTGCAATATTTTTGGATCTGCAGACTTTTCAAAAACAAATCATGAACATTTTTTTTCAAATCCACAAACATTTTTTGATTTTAGCAGGTGTCGATCGGCAGTTCATCCGCAGTCGATCACCAGGGAGGCACGACAGGCATCTATGATTCAGAATCCCGGGTGCTTGCTGTCTACAATTAGATCTAGGTCAGGAGATATATTTTGTACTACAACATATCAAAAAATTTGAAGAGGAAAGGGGGCTAGACCAGGTTATCACAACTCATGCTTTAAAGATCTTACCACCTAACGGAAATCACCTTTGACAGCTATGTTCTCTCTCATAGTCAACTTTAGCCATACTTATTACCTGCCATGCTCCCTGCAATAAAGAATAAAAAATATAACATGTCATATGTCATACTGAAAGATATAGCTGAAAAATTGAGATACAATAATGCCCTTCTCCACTAGCTATCCAGTAGTGAGGCATCCTTCCATATTTTTCACACTTATCTCTATCTGGAACATTATTCCACAATACTAAAATGTTTTGCACGGAGAAAGTTACTGAGTTGGACAGAAAATGCGCTTAGCCCACCAGAAATTGCCTCACCTAGGTGGAGAGCGCACAAGATAATTAAAGAGGCACTGCCAACTGTCAAATGGAAATCAACATAGAGAAAGTCCATATGGTTCAGAAAACTCTATTAATCTACCTCTCTGCCTATAAATAATGCATCACCAGATCTCGTGTCTCGACCCAAAATCATTATAGGAAAACCAGCAAGCCATTATAACACTTCTAGTGTTTCCCTTCCAGCTGCACGATGAAGCTTTTTCCTCTGTTTGTCCTTGCCATGGTAATGGTTAATGCTTGCGCCGTGTCTTCTCACATGGCGCCGAGAGACCATGTACTAGATGGAGTAGTGAAGATGGCAGCAACGGGAGAGGGGACGGCGATCGACAATCATCATGCGATACCGAGGACAGAGTATAGCAGCTGGAGCAGCCCTGGAAACATGCCCGGAAGTGGCCATGACATTGGTAGCGAAGAAGCCAAGCCATGAGCAGCCTGATATATGTATGCCTTTGTACGTAACACACTTCGCATTATAGGGTACGTATACGTACTCTTTTGAATCATACATAGTAGTAGTAGTAGTTGCATGTCGTGGGTTCCTAGTTGTGCTACCTATATGTAAATTAAGAGTGAGCCGGATCATGTCTATGTATTTACAGATGTTCTGTTTATATTGAATAAATCAACATTTTTCTATATTCATTGGTAGTTTACAGTATGTGCTCTTGAAGTAGATTTCATCTGGATTTAGGTCTTAAATCTTGAGTACTGCCAAGCAGATAAATCAGTCCGAAATATTAGCTTTATCTATATTAGAAGAACCATAAGAATATCAGCGAGGTACCCTTTGGAAAAAAAAAACCATTTACTTGATGTTTAATGGATGGTGATATTGCTATGGATTCATAAGGTTGATGTCGAAGGAACAATATAATTTTGGCAATATATGGTCTAATAAATAACCAGGAAACCATGAAACAATCAAGTGTTGATGTGAGAAAATAAAAGAAATATATAACCATAACTATGTGTAGACCTGAAGGGAAACATGCATGTGCATACGGCATGCAATTAACGAGAGTCGCGTGTTGTCAGCTGTGGCATGATACAGTTGCACACTAGTTAAGTTCTTTAATTCTTGAAATAATGTTTTCAGAGAATATTTCACTTTGATGAAAATCATTCCTCTCTCCTCAAAGGGCATGCATTGTTTAGGTAAGCTGAAACCACACCAATTTGTTTATATATAACTTACATAAATCACTTGATAAAGTACAATATCTCAATCAGAGAATATATAAATTTCAAATGATACAATTTCGTTGAAAACAACTTACATAAACAGCTTCATAAAGTACCGACATGGGTTCAGTTTTCGCAAAATGCTAACTATTATTCTTGTAACTGTACTTATTCAATAATAGAAAAACTTGACAAAATTACTGAGCTTTACCTGCAGCTACAAGGTCCCTATGCTAACTAGCTAGAAAGACGCAGTCTTATCTGATATATTCTGCTCAGCATTTATTCTGGACCCTTTAGTCTGCAAGAGAACTTTCATCTGCAGCGGCTGAGATATCGATGAGAGCCCAGAGCCAAATGCCCAAGGGTCACAAGTAGTACTATTGTTGATAAACATGCAGTTAAACTGAGAACTCCACTGCAATTAAGAGCTCATTGACTCCACTAATATCTGTCCTTCTACCTATATGCTTACCCAGATAGATGATGACACTTTTAGTGCCCGACTGAAGCGGTTGGGTTAAAAGTTAGGCAGGGTTATTCTCCACCTATAAATAAAATAGGAAGTCGTCGTCGCATTGTCCTAATAAAAGCATAAACCACTATCTTAGTGGGAAATACTATTCGTAGTGTTTGATGATTTACGCATAATTTATGATTACATTGACAGTGATTGGGCCAAGTAATCACCATAATCTTCAGAATTGCTGATATTTGCAAATATTTTATGTCACTGGCCATGGTAATGGGTGGGCTCTGATTTGGCTGCCAGTTTTACTACAGGATTCTAGTGCATCATTCAATAACCTTTTTGTACCAAAGGCATGGCATGAGTACCTTTTACATCGACATGATGTTTTATTTAATTCTAGTGCATCATTCAATAACCTTTTAGTTGTTAGGTTTTCTGCCCATATGAATTGTGCACTAGTTTTTCTGACTATATAAACCGTTCCTGACATGACCAAACCATAGCCTGCAAGAAACAGCACGTAGAATATCCAAACTTCTATCTAATCTCAAGGTGGAGATTTCCCAGGTATGACTCTTTGTTCCAGCTAGTTTCGTCTTGCTCATGATCATCTTTCATTCTTTGACCATTAACTTCATGATATTCCTATGCATGTGTCTCCGTCAAGTAAATTCAGACACCATGAAAGAGCAACTGAAAGCAAGCAGGATTAAGATCTTGGCTGCCTTGCTGGTCTTCGTCATGGTTACTCAAGGCTTGGCGATTCGTGTCAAAGGAACGGTGAGGAATGACATCACCGTTGAGGCTGTTAGCGCGAAAACCACCCTCGGTACAGGCAGCAGCACAACCGTGGACAACCACCATGCAATCCCACGGGACCAGTATAGTAGCCATGGAGGAGAGGATGGATCAGGTGGCAGTGGTGGTGATACTACAAGGAACTAGTGCCATTCTCTGAGACTGTTCTGTTTTTTTTCTTCGAAAAGGGGTGCTTTATGACTTAAAAGGTTTGAGACAGTTCTGTTTGCCGAAGATACATATTCTGATCTCTAATGTCATATTGTATAGATGTCAGTAGCGCTAATATTATTAGTATTCATGTCTACATGAAAATAAGGTGTTGTACATCAGATGTAATATTTTCGCGCGTGTGTGTTAGGAAACTTTCGTGATGTTACACGGCAGTCGTCAATAAAATTCATGTCTACAATCTGTTGTTCAGGAAAGAACCAAATTAACCGCATGCTTACGGTTGAGTACTGATTAATCATGGTTTTATGCTTCAATTCCTAAGTTATAAGAAGATTTATCCAACATGTACTAGTTGCAACTCTAATCGATGCCCAAAACATAGTAACCAACAGTCCAACACTCCATCCCCAAAACTGAAATCCAAAAAACATTCTGGGTATTGGGAGGCTGGCTTCTAAATGGTGCCCAAAACTTAATCCCCGAAAATAGTTTTTGACCTAATTTCTCCATCTTTGTGCATTCATATGAACATATTACATTTCATAGTTAACACATGAACATCATGTAAACATTGAATTTATAATTAAACACAATGTCAACTATATAATTTAAACTACATTATTAAACATAATTAAACATAATTAAAAATAATAAAAGTAAACTAAAACATAGGATTAAACATTAATAAATCCACCATATAGTTCAAGTCTTTTAGTCTCTCTCGGAGGAGGATGAGGAAATGATTATGAAGTTGCGAGCCTCCTCATTGGCCGCCTTAATCTCCTCCTCTTCCACCTCATCGGCGTCGATGCCTACATGTAGCTCGATGCCTTCTTGTGGTGCCTCACAGGCAGCATGGTGCTCATCGTGGTGCCTTATAGGTAGCATCAATTTCTTGGTACTCGTCTATAGTGCATTCCCCGTGAATGGTGAAGTTGGCACAGTACAAGGCCATATAGGCCTAGATTGTTAGGTGTTCCGTCATGAACTTATCACCCTCCTGCTCTAGCTCACACTCAAGCTCATCCCAACATATTAGTTGGGGGTTGGACTCAGTGGAGGATTTTGACGCCATCACTAAGGGCATCTCCAGCCGCGCCCCCAACAGGCCCCCCCAGGCCCCCCCAGGCCACTTTTTCGGCGCCGGCGCCGAAAAAACGGCCCAGTGGGGCCCCAGGACGCCGAAAATCGCCGGTTCGGACCTTTTTTCCGCCCGGCGGTCACAGGCCGAACCCGGCGCGCTGGGGAGCCGTTGGGGGCTCCGGCGCTAGGGAAAAGCACGGCTGGCCCACACCGACAGGGGAAAAGTCAAGGTTTTCTTCCCCCGACTCGCCTCGCACCCCCCGCGCCCTCGGCCACCACTAGCTATATCCCGGCGACGGCCGCCGCCCTACTCCGCTAGATAGCCATTCCCCGCCGGAAAATAGCAGCACTTCGCCGCGGCAGCCCCTCCCACAGCAGCTGGGCGTTTCCGGTCGCCGTTTCCGGCCGCGGAGGCGCGGTTTAACGGCGGGTACACGCCCACCAAGCGCAAGGTGTTCGGCGTTTTGCCTGCCTCGGCGATGGACTCGGATGAGGAGGAAGAGCTCGCCGCGCTGCTGGAGGAGGAAGCCGCGGCCGACATCCAGGAAGAAGAGCATCTCATGGTGCTCGCCGCCCTCGCCCAGCTGCTGGCGAGCAGTGAAAAGCCGCGGCGAGGTGGCTCGGCGTCGGGGCGGGTGAAAGCAAAGAACCGGCATCGTCTGCAAGGCTACTGCATGCTCTACTCCGACTACTTCGCCGATGCTCCACTTCATGGCGAGAGAACATTTCGGCGCCATTATCGGATGAGCCGAAAGCTCTTCCTCAGGATTGTGAATTCCATCCGGGAGTTCGACAACTACTTCAAGTGCAAGATGGATTGCACTGGCGCTCTTGGATTCACCTCCATCCAGAAGTGCACGACAGCGATGAGGGTGCTTGCATATGGAGCTCCAAGTGATTCACTCGACGACTATGAGCGCATGGCCGAGTCCACCAGCATAGAGTGTTTTTACAAGTTCTGTCGGGCAGTGGTGGCAGTGTTTGGGCCACAATACTTGAGAACACCCAATGCGGAAGACACTGCTCGGATCCTAGCCCAGAATGCAGCAAGAGGATTTCCTGGGATGCTTGGAAGCATCGACTGCATGCATTGGAAATGGAAGAATTGCCCATTTAGTTGGCAGGGGATGTACAAAGGCGCCAAAGGCGGTTGCAGTGTGGTGCTTGAGGCGGTAGCCACACAGGACCTCTGGATTTGGCACTCCTTCTTTGGTATGCCAGGAACTCACAATGACATCAACGTGCTACAGTGCTCTCCTGTTTTTACCAAGCTCGTTGAGGGCCATTCTCCTCCGGTGAACTTCGAGATCAATGGGCACCAATACAACAAGGGGTACTATCTAGCTGATGGCATCTATCCGAGATGGTCGACATTTGTGAAGACGATCTCAAACCCTGTGCCAGGAGGCAAGAACGCCTAGTTTGCGAAATTTCAGGAGGCTTGCCGGAAGTATGTCGAGCGGGCATTTGGTGTGCTCCAATCTCGATTCGCTGTTGTTCGGTACCCCGCTCAGACCTGGTCGAAAGATCAAATGTGGGAGATCATGACTTGCTGTGTCATCTTGCACAACATGATCATCGAGAGCGAGCAAGAAGACCTAGTGATTGACACTGAACCATACTACAGGCAGGGTCCTCTAGCCGAAGTTGATCACCAGCTACCGGCAACTTGGACTGCCTATCTCAGTATGCGTCAGGAGATCCGAGACCCACAGGTGCATCATCAACTGCAGAAAGATCTGATTGAGCACCTATGGAGGCTCAAGGGGGACGCCTCGTGATGAAATACGAGTTTTTATTTGTTGAACAATATAATTTGTATTGAATTATTTGTTGTTGTAGTATTTGATTTTTCTGTGATGAAATATGTGATAAGAAATAATTGTGTTGATAATTGAACGCCGAGACACGGCGAAACCACGCCGAATATGGGCCTATTCTCGCCCATATGGGCCGTTTATTCGCCGAAATTGGGCTGCAAAGTGGGCCAATTTCGGCGCCTGGGGGCGACGACTGGGCGCAAACCCACCCCTAGCGCCGAGTGCATCGCCGGCTCGCCCCCAGGGGGCGATTTTTATGCGTCCTGGGGGGGCCAACGGCTGGAGATGCCCTAAGTCTTTGGTATCGAGCCTATAGAGAGGGAAAGTTTTACGACAACATAGAGGATTTGTTGCAATTTGTCGGTATGGTGGAGCGACCGGACCTCGAGGGAACGAAAGATGTGCCAGACTTCGCCAGTGTGGAGCTGCCAGACGGATGGCGAAGAAGCCACCAAGATAGCTGCACAGTTACGGTCAGGATATTGAGTGGCATTGTTGGTGGGCGGGGGAGCCAAAATTGTGGCTAGGATTGGTAAGGTGGGGTCCATGTGGGTGGATAGAAGGCGAGAGAGGTAGCTGATCAACGATGGCGGCTAGGAGGCGAAATGTCACTTGCACATGTTCTAGGGTTTTGGAAACTAGATTGGGATAAGCTGGCTGACATCAATATATTGGCAATGAAGAAAACTTTTGTGGATAGTTTAAATAGAGTTTTGCATTGTATTTTTTGGTCACATTTGTTTGGGCTTACTTTTCAAGTCTTCACTTCAACAAATTGGATTGTATGCATGTTTTAAAAATATTCTCATGTTGTAGAAGACAAATTCAATTCGATTTGGAAGGTCCCATGAGAATATACCATGTTGTCTCCTAAGCAGAACATGGAATTTAAAAATATTTAAAATCATATCAAGCTTTAGAATTTTTCAAAATCTCATATGAATATAAATATATTCTGTACATACATGTACATTTTCGTTAACAAATACTTGCATTTATGTGCTACTCAAAAGCATTGTAAAAACAATTTCGTGGATCTACATATAATAGCAAATAGTTCATCTATTATAGATTTCAATTTTTAAGCCTGCAAATTAATATATTTAGGTTCATAGTGAGCATCCACATGTTTAGGAAGAAGTACTTAATTAGGAAAATAAAATTAAAGGAACTGGTGACTAAAATTAAAAGGGACCACAGTAGCCGGCGAACCTTTCTGTGGCAAGTTCTTCAAACACCCATGGCAATTCTCTTGAGAAATAGATGGTAAAATGTGCAAACGGAGGAATTTTGCTGTGAAAATTTCTTTTCTTGCTTGAAACAGTTACCATGCCCCTGCGACATAAATTGCAGTGGAAAGGTTCACAAATGCCATCTGCCCAGCGAACGTTCGCTGAATAATATTATCCTTAAAAGGGCACTACCAGGAAAAAGCCTATACACAGAATCTTATCAGCAGCGCGCTTTAAAACAAGGCGCTGCTGCTACGTAGCAGTAGCGCGCGCAAAGTAAACACGCTGCTGAAATAGAAGTAGCACTAGCGCGCCTGTAATAACCCGCACTATTGTTATAATTGCCACGACCCGCCGCCAAGCTAGTTATAGCAGCAGTGCCTTAATACAAAGAGCGCTACTGCTATAGATCATAGCAGTAGCGCATCCTCACAATACCCGCTACTGCTAAGTTTACTACAAAATCTAGTCCCACCTCACTCCACGAACATGGTTTTTACCACCTTAAATGTGTTACTTCTCAAACTATCACAACCACCTGGTCTTCATTGAACTCTATGTATAGAATTTGTGGCCGTAATATGAGTCTTCTTCAGTTTCTAAACCGGTGAGGACTCATATTGACAATTTAGATTGTACACAAAAAGATCAATGATAATCAATGTATTTTTGATGTATATTTTTACATGTTTACACAGAGCAGTAGCACATTTTGACTGAAAGGCGCTACTGCTAGGTCATTCATTAGTAGCGCGTTTCCCTATAGCGCGCTACTGCTAAGCCATTCTATCTTCCCCAACCGGCCGCCCTAGCTCACTCTCCTCTCTCCACTCACACT